CCTTGTTTGTCAGGAGCAATCAGAGGAAGTTAGTCATTCCCCTTATATAACGGCTGGAATGCATTTCCTTCACGGTAATGCCACGGCAGCTGCCATAGATATTCATTATGTTTTATTGTCCTGAACTGATGATTCAAGCTGACCAGGGTATTGGTATGACTGCTCTAAGCTACTCACTTAGTTAGGTCACTGTTTTCTACCTCAGTTCAACATTTCATCCAAAGCTATTTCCAATAATGCAGCGCTCCCTCAACAGTGCACTAGAGGGTTAACCTAGACTGAGTACCTATGGTTATTTTAGTCTGTGTAGGTCCAATAAACTTCAATTTGGCTTTATTTTATTGTGTCTGAGTCTGCCAGTGATCCTAATGCACAATTTATGATTAGACTCAGCCTTACTCAGTTGGTAGTACTCTCACCTCTTGATTCAGAAGGTTGTAGGATCAAGACCCAAGTCAGGACTTTGAACCTACATAGTCTCGCTGACACACCAACGCAGTGCTGGGGAGTGCTGAATTGTAGGAGGTGCTGTCCTTCAGATGACATGTTATACCGAGATCCCATTTGTCTAGTCAGGTGGACATTAAAATTCCCATGGCATTATTTGAAAAGGGAATGGAATTTCTTCCAGTATCCTGGTCAACTATCCCCCACATAATAATAATAATAATAATAATAATAATAATAATAATAATAATAAAATGAGTCACTCACTTCATGACCATTTGTGGAACATTGCTGTGTGCAAATTAGCTGCCTACAAAATACACAATCACTCCACGAAAATAAACACTGTTAAGCATTTTGAGATGTTCTCCGGATGTGAAACGTGCTGCATCAAAAGCAGCGGCTATAATGCTGAGAGACCCTAACTAAATTAAATTAAACTAAATTAATGGCCGTGGGACCAACTTCACATCCTTGGTTAACAATTGATACTAAAGTTGAAAGTGGTGCAGAGCTGGCAGTGTGGAGATAAGTTTGTTACGGTTCCTCCTGGGCTTATTCAAGGCGGTAGAGTTGAATGAACCGGTAGATCTCCTGCTGAATCCCCACAGTATCAAACCATGGGCAGCCACATCATCCCACATGCCTCACTCCACACATCTTATGCCGCATTTTTTCCTCACTAGTACCTGCGCTGCTCTCAGGCATGAGATTTGAATGAAGAATCGTATTTGGCCAACTGCAGAATCCAGACTCTACCGACTTCCAATCACAAACAGGCATTGCTCATTCAGCACACGAAGGGACATTTTATGAGGTTAACTGGAGCTCTACTGTTTAACCTACACACCTTCGAATCCGTTTCCCCACCCTCTGTCACCAAACTCATCCTGTCCCTGAAACCCACCACCTGCTCCCTTGACCCCATCCCCACTCCACTCCTTATCTCTCAGCTCCACCTCCTTGCCCCACATATCACAGACATCATCAACCTGTCCCTCTCCTCTGGCTCTGTTCCCATTCCATTAAAAACTGCCACCATCACTCCCACTTTGAAAAAAACCCTCCCTTGATGCGTCGCAGCTATCAACCTACCGGCCCATCTCCAACCTCCCCTTCCTATCCAAGGTCCTGGGACATTGCTGTGCGCAATTGGCCACTACGTTCGCCCACAAATATACAGTCAATTCACTTTACACTGTGTTCTGTGAAGCGCTTTGGGACGTCCTCCCGACGTGAAAAGCGCTATATCAAATGCAAGGATTATTATTATTATTATTAAGGTCCTTGAAAGAGTTGTCGCCTCCCAGCTGCGCTCTTCCCTCTCCACCCATGCATTATTCGAACCCCTTCAGTCGGGTTTCCGTGCTGCCCATAGCACAGAAACCGCCCTGCTCAAGGTCGCCAATGACATCTTGACCATCTGCGATCAGGGCTCCCTCTGCCTCCTCGTTCTCCTCGATCTATCCTCCACCGCTTGTCCTCCCATCTCAACCTTCAAGGCCCTGTCCTTGAGTGGTTTAGGTCGTACCTCTCCCACCGTCTTCATTTTGTTTCCACAAACGGCTTTTCCTCCAGCCCCCGCACTGTCTCCTGTGGTGTCCCTCAGGGCTCTGTCCTCGGTCCCCTCCTCTTCACCCTCTATACGCTCCCCCTTGGTGACATCATCCGCAGACATGGGGTTAACTTCCACATGTATGCGGATGACACCCAAATCTACCTTTCCTCCTCTACCCTCAACTCCACGACCACCGATGTCCTGACAGCTGCCTGTCCGACATCGAGTCCTGGACGAGAGACAACTTTCTTCAGCTCAATGTGTGCAAAACTGAGGCCCTCCTGATTGGCTCACGTCAGCGCCTCCGCACCTCAGGCGCTGACAGCATCAGCATCCAAGGCTGCACTCTCCACCTCTCAAAGCCGGTCAGGAACCTCGGTGTTCTGTTCGACCCTGAGCTGTTGTTTCTTCCTCATATCCGCGCCACAACATCCGAAACATCGCCAGACTACGGCACTACCTCACCCCTCACGCTGCTGAAACTCTGGTCCACGCCTTTATCACCTCAAGGCTGGACTATGGGAACTCTCTCCTCGCCGGCCTTCCCGGCACCTCCCTCCACAAGCTGCAGGTCATTCAGAACTCTGCAGCTCGTGTACTGTCCCGCACCAGGCTTCGGGACCACATCACTCCCACCCTCGCTCGCCTCCACTGGCTCCCCATCCCCCAGAGGATCGAATTCAAGATCCTCATCCTCACCTACAAGGCCATTCACGGCCTCGCTCCCTCCTCCCTCTCCGACCTACTATCCCCCTACCTACCTGTCCGTACCCTCCGTTCCTCTGGCTCCGGTCTGCTCCACATCCCCCGCCCCAACCGCCCTACCATCGGCGGCCGGGCCTTCAGCCTCTCAGCCACTAGGCTCTGGAACTCCATCCCCCAGTGCCTTCGCCGCCTCCTCCCTTTCCTCCTTCAAGGCCGGTCTCAAGACCTTTCTCTTTGACCGTGCCTTCAGCTCCCCTCTCGACTCTCTACCCCCTCCTCGCCCCCTCCCTTCCCTCCTCTCACCCTGACCATTTCCCCCCTGCTCGGGTCCCGACCCAACTGTCCAGCGCCTTGGGACGTCCTCCTGACATGAAAGGCACTCTATAAATAAAATCTTGTTGTTGTTGTTGTAATCCCATTAATATTCCTTAATAATTCACCAAGCATATCTCGACCAATCCTATAGGTCACCCATTAGCAACATCCTGGGCATAATGAAAAAATGTTTATGTGCATAGAAGATAGCAGACCAGCAACACTGCAAGATTTTAAGCACACCAAACTGTGGAAAACTGCTCCCAAATTAAAACTGACTTCAAGAATTTGCCAAAATTCTGCGCAATCTAAAATTTTAAGACAATGGATTTAAGACTAAAAGCATGAGGTATCCAAATTCTCTGGATTCTGGAACGGTTCCCATTGATCGGAAGATTGCAAACGTAAACCACTACTTAAGAAGGGTGGGAGAGAGAAGATGGGGAACTATGGACCAGTCAGTTTGACATCGGTGATAGGGAAAATTCTAGGATCCTTAATTAGGGACGTCGTAGTGGGGTACTTAGAAGACCATAACATGATTAGGCCGAGTCAACATGGCTTTACAAAATGGAAGTCATGCTTAACAAACCTTGTAGAGTTTTATAAGGATGTAACTAGCAGGTTAGATAGGGGGGAAACCAGTAAATGTGGTGTATTTGGATTTTCAGAAGGCATTCGACAAGGTGCCACATAAAAGGCTACTACACAAGATTAGGGCCCATGGAATTAAAGGTAATATATTAGCATGGATCGAAGAGTGGCTAATGGGAAGAAAACAGAGAGTAGGAATAAACGCGTCCTTCTCAGATTGGTAGGATGTGACTAGTGGAGTGCCACAAGGATCAGTGCTCGGGCCTCAACTATTTACAATCTATATCATTGATCTAGACGAGGACCTAGGACGTAAAATATCTAAATTCGCAGATGATACTAAGCTAGGTGGGAGAGTAAACTCTGAGGATGACATCAAAAGATTGCAAAGGGATATAGATAGGCTAAGTGAGTGGGCAAGAAGGTGTCAGATAGAATATAATGTGGGGAAGTGTGAAGTTATTCACCGAGATTGTAAAAACAGAAAAGCAGATTATTTTCTAGAGGGGAAGAGACTAGAGAGTGTTAGTGTTCAGGGGGATTTGGGTATCCTTGTACACCAGTCACAAAAAGTTAGTATGAAAGTACAGCAAGCAGCTAGGAAGGCTAATGGCATGTTGGCGTTTATTGCAAAAGGGTTAGAATACAAGAGTAGGGAAGTCTTGCTACAGTTGTATAAGGCCTTGGTGAGACCGCACCTAGAATATTGTGTGCAGTTTTGGTCTCTTTATTTAAGAAAGGACTTACTCGCCTTAGAGGGGGTGCAGCGTAGGTTCATTAGGTTAGTTCCTGGGATGAGGGTATTGACCTATGAGGATAGGTTGAGTAAACTAGGCCTATATTCTCTAGAACATAGAAGAATTAGGCTGATCTTATAGAAACCTATAAGATTCTTATGGGGCTTGACAGAGTAGACACTGAGGGTCTGTTTCCCCTGGTAGGAGAATCTAGAACCAGGGGTCACAGTCTTAAGATTAAGGGACAGCCCTTTCGAACAGAGTTGAGGAAACACTTCTTCACTCAGAGGGTAGTGAATTTATGGAATTCTCTACCCCAGAAGGCTGGAGATGCTCAGTCCTTGAACATATTCAAGACTGAGATTGATAAGATTTCTAAAGGATAGAGGGATTAAGGGATATGGGGATAAGGCGGGCAAGATGGAATTAGGTTAGAAGATCAACCATGAATGGCAGGGCAGGCTCGAGGGGCCGAATGGCCTACTCCTGCTCCTAATTCCTATGTTCCTATCTTCCAATGTATTTCAGGCCTCGAGTGAGGACAGGATTATGCTTGACCACAGTATCTATTCTCAGGCTGTTGAACAGCGTGCTGACACTCACCATCACAAAGCGGGAATGTGACAAACGTTTCAACTACTCACGTTAAGTATGTTCCCCTGCTGTTAATGCTCATCATCAGGTCCACTTTCTTCATCGGGGTGTCCAGGGTCCCAGTGAGGTTAATCGCACTAGCGTTATTCACCAAAATATCTATGCCTGGAGGAGTAATAGGAAACTATTAAACTTAGAGAGGATTCACGCCTTTTGGTTTCCATTAAAATAACCTACTAGTTTACCAAATAATGTTTATTATCAGGTTCACGGGACCAAACACTTGCAGCTTGGAGCTGCTCTTTCCCTAGGGGAAACCCAAGACACAGCCAATAGTATAAGGTTATACGGGCCAGACTGTGGGGAATGTCAGTGAACCAACTATGTGAAGGAACCTCAAAAGCACGCACCACACTAAGTGAATTATTCACTAAGTGAATAACAACTTGCATTTACTTAGTGCCCTTCATGCGGGGTAGAGTCTCGAAGTGCTGTGGTGTGAAGTGGTAGACAAAGAGGGTTGGATACATAATGGCAGCAGGAAAAGATGGGGAGAAGATAAAACCGTTAGTATTTACACGAACCTCAGTACAACAACTGAAAAGATGATTGGCATCTGAACACAAGAATGTTTCCAAGCTATGCGGGATGCCAGTTTGTTTGATGGTTCAATCCTGGGAGGCTGTATTTATAAACTGAACCATTAGGGGGAATCTGCACAACAATTCTCTATTTACCATCTTAAAAGCTGGAGGAGGGGGGAGAGGTGTGGTGAAAAAAGGAATGGGAAACATTAGTGACATGGTATTAGCATAGTCAAACTCTTCGTTCTAGCCACCCACTCAGTTACTGTGGTTGTTTCTGTGAAAGCCCCACCCCAAATTTTGTGTCTTGGTACCCAGAGCAGACCTCTGAGGAATCTGGAAATATACTGTGGTGCTCCAGGAAGGGACATGAGGGACGCTACAGGAGGGGGCACAAAAGGATCTGAATTTAAAGTTGGTGAAAATTGGAAGCATGGATGTACCAGGGAGGATGTGCTCCTCTCCTCTACAGTATCCTGCTAACCAGAGGCACAATGTTGTGACTCACAAGTCCACTATGGTCAAGGCCGGCTTCTGCACACAACCGTTGTGAACTTCTTGGAGGATGGGTGTGGGGGTGGGGGGAGGGGAGGAGGGGGCAGAAAGAATGAGTGCCCCACCTCTCTTTTTTTCAATGTTGACAGCACAATTTGTGCTAATTCAGATCAAAATTTTCACTTTGTCGTATTAAAATCAATTAAACCACCATCACCAATTGCAAATCCATGCATTTGGTACAGCACATTATCACTTTGTTGAAACGTTGAAAAGCACTTCACAGGATTTTACTGTAAAGTGTAGTGATTGTATCTGTAGATCACTGAATCTCTCGATTAAATGCTGGCAATGCAGGCTCGGGTGTTATCAACGAGCCCAGCAGACAGAATAATCACCGCAAACAGGTAGGAACCAGCAGACTTCACACCAACCATCCCAACGTACCTCCAAATGTCTTCACGGCATTCTCGACTGCATTGCTGATTTGCTGCTCATCTCGCACGTCCACAATGCATGGTAAAGCCTTGCCTCCATTGGCTTCAACTGAAGATATTGGGAGAGAATAATTATTGCAGTTTGTACACAAACAGACACTTTATCTCCTTCCTTGACCTGACAGCACCAATAACTGCACCCATTACAAGGTTATTTTTTCATCCAGATAGGACATTAAAACAAATCAAACGAGAAACACTCCAACACGATTTGTAAAGTTGCAAAGCGCATGGCTGCTACAAATGGTAGAGGCATTGTACAGACATCAACATCCATCAGCTGAGTAAGTGTACAGAGCAGCTCTTCACAAAATAGCACTGCCAGCAGCTTCCTCTTCAAGAGTTGATTTACAACTTTGAGCCGAGAAGATCCGCTTTATGGCTTAAAACACAGCACTGAGCCATACAAACCAGCATACAGAAAGCCACAGGTTCAATTCACAACCACCACTGACTGAATTAACTGATCTGACTAGGAGCAAAACACGGGATGCTACCTTTGGCCTTGGTGGTGTTGGGCGAGCAAAGGAGATAAAATACCAGTTCAGCCAGGGTCCCCCTGCTCCTGCCTGTGACCCACCGACTCATGTTGCAAAGTGTGAGCACGTGAACATCATGCGAATGCATGATTGTGTTCGGCTGTGTTACACTCAAATTGCCTGCCGACAATCTACACCAAGACTTCACATTGGCCTTGTGGTCGAGGTACTAAAGGGTAACCTGCAACCATGGATATGTACCCCAGGAGGAGAAGAAACAAATGTTTTCACGAGATAAAAAGTGGAGGAAAAATATTGAATTAAAACAAGATATTCTGTGGAGGGTCTCTCTGGTGCTGGAGATAAGAAATATCCCAAACTCTTGAGGGTGGGAAAGTCAAGAGTCCTGGGATAGTTGTGAAACCAAAAGCTCTGGTTCATGTTGTCACCAGAACTCCACATTCATGAGTTGTTTCACAGTTAGGGAGTGAGGGTTCTGTGACGAATTAGAAGAATCAAATAGACAATAATAATCCTTGCATTTGAGATAGCGCCTTATTGTTGAGACGTCTCAAAGTGCTTCACAGAATATATTGTAGAGTGAATTAACCGTATATTTTGTGGGTGAAAGGCAGCAGCCAATTGCGCACAGCAATGTCTCACAAATAGTCGTAGATTGAAAATGACCAATTTTTATTATTGTTTTTGGAGGGATTATTATTAGGTGTGTGGAGTAAGGAAACTTGCCCAAGGTTTCGCCCTCTGCCTGGAATTGAACTCAGGTCTCTCGCTTGCAAAGCGAGTGCTCTAACCACTGAGCTACAGGACTTCACAATGTTAAGCAATGCAAGTGGAGAGATTTGTTCGACACATTACAGAACACCAGTGATACCTGAACAAGAACGTGTTTTAATCTCAGACACAAAATGTAGAGAGAGGGTTTGTACAACAGCTTCCAGCAGACAGATCCCAGTCTTGATTCACACTCATAGGCCACTTCGCACCAACCAACCAACTCCCTCCCACCACCACTCAATGTACAACACCAGAACTTGTGAGTTACCGATTGTGCTCCTTCTGGGCATGAAAACAAAATCATGAGTCCTAGATATTAACTGTACACAGATTCTGTAATTGTCTGGCAATAAGAAGTCTTGTGAATGTAGTATTAATATCGGTTCCAGCATGCACATCAAATTCTTATGTCATGCTCTCACCTCTACGCCACAGACAGCCAATTCCCAACACACTGGTCAACTGTTTCCAGTGGCTTTGATTACCAGTAATGGTGAAATTTCTGCGCCACAACCCTGTGGACTATTTGTGTCACTTAAAACCATATGAAGGAGTTTTTTTTAAAAAAACACACGCGTCTGTTGGCACTAATACAAGGCTGGACTCAGTACAGTGCTTGTAAAACCCCTTTGGAAAAGCACGCAATAGGAGCAGGTCACAACTCAGCAGAGATTTAGTAAGATGTAATGGTGGGTCAGTGCCTGTTTAATCTTTACTTAATCTCGTGGATCTGCCCTTGCCTGGTTTGATTCCTATCTCTCTCACTGTCTCCACTTTGTTGCCTCTAACGGTTTCTCCTCCAGCCCCCACACTGTCATGTCTGGCGTCCCCAAGGCCTCTGTCCTTGGCCCTCTCCTCTTTAATATCTACATGTTCCCCCTTGGTCACATCATCCGCAGACATGTTCCATATGTATGCGGATGACACCCAACTCTATCTTTCTGCCTCCACCCTCAACTCCAGGACCACTGCTGTCCTGACAGACTGTCTGTCAGACATCAAGTCCTGGATGAGGGCAAATTTCCTACAGTTGAATGTGAACAAGACTGAGGCCCTCCTGATTGGCTCACGCCAGCGCCTCTGCATCTCAGGCTCTGGCAGCATCAACCTCCACGGTTGCACGGTTCAACTCACCAAACCAGTCAGGAACCCAGGTGTCTTGTTCGACCCTCAATTGTCTTTTCTTCTCCATATCCAAGCCATGACCCACTCTGCCTTCCCTCACCTCCGTAACATCGCCCGACTCCACCACTACCTCACCCCTCAGGCCACTGAAACTCTTGTTCGTGCCTTCATCACCTCCTGGTTCGACTATGCAAATGCCCTGCTTGTCGGCCTTCCCAACTCCTCCCTTCACAAGTTGCAGATAATCTAGAACTCTGCAGCCCGTGTCCTCTCCCCACTCTCACCCGACTCCATTGGCTCCCTATCCTTCAGAGGATCCAGTTCAAGTTCCTAGTCCTCACCTACAAAGCCTTCCATGGCCTCGCCCCACCGTACCTCTGTGACCTCTTTACCCCCTACCAACCCGCCCGCTCCCTCCGCTCAGCCGGCTCTGGCCTGCTCCACGTAACCCAACTCACCTGCCCCACCATTGGCGGGAGAGCCTTCAGCCACTCTGCCCCCAACCTCTGGAATTCCATCCCCCAATCACTCCGCCTCGCCCCCTCCTTAGCCTCCTTCAAATCCCGCCTCAAAACTCTCCAACTATGCCATCGGCCACCCTCTTTCCTCTCCCCTCCCTACTCCCTCCCTGACCCCAGCTTGGGTCTGAAATGCTGTACACTGTCCAGAGCATTGGGACGTCCTCCCGACTGAAAGGTGCTATACAAATGTAATCTTGTTGTTGTTTGTGGGACCTTGCTATGGACCGAACTGACTGTCACAACGCCAGGTCGCTTCACTTGATAGTAACCAGTTGTGAAACAGTCTCTCAAACTAGGAAAATGTTCTGACAGTGATGGAGGTTGGAAGAGAGACAGAAAGAGAGAAAGAATGGGAGTCTCTCATAATACTTCAGTTTGGATTCCATCTACAGTTAATGAACTGGGTGAATATATCGTTAGCAAAAATCTCCGCTTTTATGAAAGAGACTAAAATAGAAGCTGGAGCAAAGAACGAGTAGCAATGCAACTGGATTCAGAATGATTAGGATATTTTAATAACCAGGCCAGCAGGTGGCAGATATGGTTCAACAAGGGTCAGTGTAAATATCATGAGTGTTGAAACTACTAAACAAAGGGAGGAGGGAGCGTGTGGTGAACAGAACAGCCTTACACTTATCTGGAATTATAGTGGATCAATTTTTGAAAATGCCAAGCCCCTGTTTGGCTCAGTTTAAAAAGGAAATGGAGTCCTGTAACATAGTGGTAAGCATGCTTGCCTCACAAGCGAGAGAATCTGGGTTCGATTCCCGGGTGGGCTAAAACCGTAGGCTAGTTTCCTTACTCCACACGCCTGTTTACCTAGCCGTAAATTGGAACCTGGTTGTTAGTCGATTGGTGGATCGCTTTACAGGGGTAATAATCCCTCCAATATATTCTGTGAAGCACTTTGAGACAACAACAACAACAACAACAAGATTCCATTTATAGAGCGCCTTTCACGTCAGGAGGACATCTATATGAGACTATATCAAATGCAAGGATTATTATGATTATTGAATAAGGTACAGGGTTAAATCAACAAAGGGAAAAGGGCACAAAGCAAAAGCGGTCAATAGAAAGTCCAATATTCGCAAATATCAGCGTCAAATAGAACATTTCTAAAGTTCATTGAAAATGGTCCAAATGCAAGATTATGGTTTCTCAGCAAGAAAAGGGAAAAATGTGTTCAGTGGCAATAAAGGTGGGCTGGACTGCACCAGAGAAGTGAGGAGAGCACATTAACTGTGGTCTCATGGAGACTGGGCCGATTCCCAGGACGTGCCACATTAACTTTGCTGAGCACAAAATAAATTCAAGAAAATAGTAGGAGAGGGCGGTAGGGGGAAGAAATTATGTGAAGTGAACGGCCCCAATTGTGAAAAACATATCACATTCAGTGTTTGAAGTTAAGATTGTTGGGGCGAGGGACTCGGCCCTTGTGACCCCAGACTAGGTTCAATCCCCCTCCAACTGCTGATGCGCAACTTCTGTTCACATCAGCCCACGGACCAGAACAAAAGTTACAAATACCTAATAGTTTGACACTTAAAAGACATTTTTAAAAATTAAAATCAGCCATTGATACTTCATAGAATTGATTATAAATATGTGTAAAAAGTTACATCGCTGAGTAACGCATGCTCCTATAAGCATCTGCCTCTTGCCGATTGCGTGAGTAGTGGAGCAAAATGTTCTTCCCTGAGGTTTCGCCTCAGAAACCTCACTTTTATTTCCCATTTCCCAGGAATGATTGCCCATTCTCACCGCATCAATTTAAACTGGAGTTGTGAAAATATCCCTGGGCTTCATGCTTCAAAGAAAAACCCAAACAAATAAAAGTCACATTGCAATATGCAGTTGTGGGATTTAAACATCATCAACTCAATTGGGTAAAAAAAAAGCACAACGGCTCACCCATTACACTGGTTCTGGCAAAGACAGAATGGGAGACTGAGAGGCTCACTGAAGCTTTAGGCAGAAGTACTGTTTGAATGATAATCGGAAATGAAAATGAAACAGCTTTCCGGATTATGAAATGTCACTCACAATGAGCAGCGCTTCTTTAACAGTGTGCCTCTGGCTGTACAATGAACCCTAATGCCATGTCAAGTTTAACATCACTCGTTCGA